ACAGAGAAAAGATAACAATATTTTATTGCTGCTCTTTCATATTGTATTTCGTTCAGTGTTTATTAGGCACTTAAGAATCATTAAGAGGTTTTAGGCAGAATTATTTAGTGATCTGGGCATCATATATGCATATGTATGATTCATAGATGACTAAATGATCGCTATGGATATAGGGGTTAAAAGGTACATTATATTACAACTGTAGAACTTGAAGAGATAAAAGTAGTGACGTTAGTGAAAATTCAAACGAGTTGGACGATCGTTGGATCAAAGCAGATTGCGTACGCGCATAGCGATGCGTCTGCTTGCAGTTTTCCTCAACATTTTGTAACCTGTAGGGTTAAGAATTCATTTATTGACTCAATTTTTCAAAGAGTTAATACCAGAGAACTGTGAACTACAAAAGCTGGGGTCATTGCACAATCTAGGCTAGTCTGAATACTTGCCTACTTATAATTACTAATACAGTAAGAATAAAAATCTTTGGTCATGCAGGTACTATAAACTATCTAAAACATATTATTGTCCACACTACATTATTAAGACCCGTTTTAATAAGTGTGTTGAAATAACATCTTTGAATCCCAGTTTTGCTTCATAATTAGTAGGTACCTACTTATAACTTAACTCGTCGAGTACCGGTTTTATAGACACAATTAAAGAACAATAGGTCGCGGTCACCGGTGACCGCTTGGTGTTTGACAGTTTAATTGATTGACTGGACCGCGTGGTTGGCGCGGTAACTGGGCAACTGGCTGCCGCGCAACGTGTCGCAGGTTCGATTCCTGCACGGTCTGGGTGTCTTGTGTATGTGAACTGGTATGTTTGTAAACGCACCCACAACACAGGAAAAAATCCTAGTGTGGGGAAATGTTAAAAAAATATAAAAGAAAAATAGAGAAAGAATTTCAAACTTTATACATGGATAGTTAACGTGCTACATACGAATTTGGGAACTCGAAACATCTATCATGAACTGTAAATACATATTTATTACTTACTACAAATGTCTCAACAGAGTTTCGACTTTCGAACCTCAAAATGATAAGCAATTTATGTCTATAATAACAGCAGGGTTGTAGACTAAAACAATTTCCTAGTCATGAGAATTCAGTTACCGTAACGGAAATGAATTATTGCCTTAGCGTCTGACCCTCTAGCTACAAAGCTCTGTTCCATCAAAAGCTTTAGATGTGTAATTACCCGCGATGACGCAACCTCGCTCTCGACTTCACAAGAGGCTTCAGAGGGGGAGGTGGGAGGGTAGAATGGAGGGTGGTCGGTCGCACCGTTTCCATGGATACCGCAGGGAGGCTGACTATTGCAACAAGTGGGACTTATCACGACTTTATTCCGAGCTTTTCCGTTTAGGGACTTAAAAAAGTTTTATAGTGTAGGTATCTAAGTAGAGCAGTCTTTTATAAGAATATAATGGTGCGACTTTTTACAATAGCTGTGCGAAGAATAAACGAGTTACCTATTCATAAACAGGTACAGTATTGCATATCTATTATCTAGTAGGTAGGCACATTATATATATATCCTGCCTCATTGGCCGAGTGGTCGCAAGTGCGACTGCCGGGCATGGGGTCTCGGGTTCGGTTCCTGGATCGGGCAAAGAATTACTGGGTTTAAAAAAAATCTCAGTAGTAGCACGGAGTCTGGAATTGTGCCCGGTATATGGCAATAAGCTAACCCCCTTTTACATGGGACTCATAACATAAATAGTGAGAAGTGGGTATTACATTGTGCAGTGGCATTAAGTGCCGTAATGTCTACCCATTCGGGGATGAAAAGCGTTATGTTAAGTTATGTGATAGTTTTTTTCCATTTTTCCATGCACCCAATGTTCACACAGGTCTCTTACTACGTTATTATCTGTTACAATTTGAAATAACGGAAACCTTTGATTCGCCGCCAGAGAAGTAGGCAGATACTAAATATAATCGTCTAACTACGAACCGATTCGAAGCGATACTTTATTGTAACAAAACGAGGCTCCTACAATAAAGTAGCTTAATTGATTTCTGGCACGAGCTTGTTACACTTATTATCTCCGAGGGTGGAATAGTAGGTCATCGCAGGATTAATTCAAGAGGAGGGAAACTAAAACCTAAAAACTATTAATATACTATACTATAAAACTATTAAACTATAACTACTATACGTAGGCAAGAATACTTTTCGAGTCACAATTTTTTTGAATTTGGTACATTGTTGCACTTCGATTAGCATATTTTTTAAATTTATCACCTTTTAATCCTTTTGCTTTAGCCTGTCGTCGTTTGTTAAAAGAATACAAAAAATTCCAAATATTAGTTATTTTTCACAAAACACGACGCAACGGGTTTTACCTACTTACCTACATTCATATTGACTATCCGAAGCCTACTAGAAACAACTTTGCATTGCATAGGTATTAGGTAGGTACCTACTGCCTAATCTTTACGTTTGGTTTGGTAATTCCAAGAGCGATCAACCTGCTGGGTCCTCTGGTATATTCTTGAGTTGAATTCTGTTGGATAAGGATATTAGATCTAGGCACATTAGATCCACAAATTATTCCGGGTCTACATGTCATGTGACATTGTATATTTGTAAATTATTACGCACGCACAACACACGAGAAAATCCTAGTGTGAGGCAATGTTTAAAACAAAATCACATTTAATAGAAGTATTTAATATTATTTTGAACAGAAGTTGTTTCCTGAAGGGTATATATATATATAATCTGGGTGTCTTCAAGGCCCGAGTGAATAAGTTGCTTATGGGCAGACGTGTTCCATCGTAGGCCGCATCATCCTGGGCTCGCTGCCATTGCAGCGGTAAGTCCCCTCTTTGAGGAGTGGCTTGAGAGACGCTACGGCGTCCTCACCTACCGCCTGACGCAGGTCCTCACCGGACATGGCAGTTTCGGGAGGTACCTGTGTCTGATGGGGCGGGAGGAAACGCCCGGGTGTCATCACTGCGAGGACCGCCCTGAGGACACGGTGGAACACACGGTGGGAGAATGCCCTTCGTGGGCTGAGCACCGCCGTGTCCTCAGGGAAGTGATCGGCGATGGCGACCTCTCGCGTCCGGGCCTAGTGCAGGCCATGATGCGGAGCGAGGGGGATTGGGATGCCGTCTCCTCCTTTTGCGAAGCAGTCATGCTAGCTAAGGAGGAGGCGGGACGCGTGAGGCAGCGAAGCGCTGCCTCCTCGCAACCCAGCCATCGCGAAGGACACACCGGGCGTCGGGGATCGCGGGACGATCTCCGGCCACCGTAAGCGCGGGCCTGCGGATGGCGAGCATGGGTGGCTCCCCGTCCGACCAGAAACAGACCCGAGCGTACGGCGCGTCGCGTTCCGCGCGCGCCTCAAAGAGCCATCAGACCACCACAGATGGGGTCCAATAGGGCCGATGCCGATTCGGAGTCGCGGAGAACCTAACGGGTAACCAGGGCTCCGGCTCGACGTGCAGGAGAAGGAACGGGGTGGTTTTTAGTCAGTAAGAGTCTGACACTCCCTCCCGCCTCACCCAGGCGGGGGCAGTCATTCGATGATTTTCCTCCCTTAAAAAAAAAAAAAAAAAAAAAAAGGCCGCATCATCGCTTACCACCAGGCGAGATTGTAGCCAAACGTCGGCCCATCAAATATAAAATTGGATGTACCCTAATTTCGTAGGATCATATCAGATGATATCTCGTAATAGGTTAGTCTCGATACTCACGTATTTGTTGTCGAGGGTTATGAGGTCACAATCTGTACAAATACATGTGTCACGTACAATAACAATGAGATAATTATGAGAGCTACGCCTCGACGTCATCCAATAAATGTATGCTTGATATTTTTGCTGGATACTGGCTACTGCGTAACGTGTTGTTGCGGTTTCGACTCGGGTACCGGTAAATATGAATGTTTATAATATCTATCGTGAGACATACTAATTAACTAAAATTCGCGGGTTACTCACGTCGAAATACTGAGAAAATCTCTACTAGTTTCGAGCCACAGAGGGGTTCTTCCTCATGAGCCGCGTGCGCGGTCGCGGCTATGTCGCGTAGCCATCGTGCGCAACTTTTCTCAGTATTATCAAGAGATTAACCCGCAATTTTTAGTTAATGATTATGTATGATATATGTTATGATTTTTCTACAAATTGAGAGCGGTTTAGCTAACTAGCCAGAAGTTCTAAGGGCCGAAACATATAACCGTGTCGCGTCGCCGCAAGCAACGCTTAAATCGGCAGTTTGCGTTGCAGCGTCGTAAAAAACAGCGTTTTATTATAGTTAGCGTAATGTCTTCTTAATAACAAATAAGCAATAAGTTTTTCAAGATGGTCCATGGCAGAGACACGTTTATCCACGATAAAAAATCACGACTAACTGGTTACCCTACCGAACGACAATAAAACGCTCTTTTTCACAACGCCGCAACGCAAACTGCCGATTTTAGCGTTGCGGCCACGCAACGCGGTTGTGTTTCGGCCCTAAGATATGTAATAGGTTTAACCAATTATCAAGTGTCCTCCTAGGGTTGGCAGGTAGCGTTGTTCTTGATAGGAAAATGCCAAGCCAGAATTAGTAGCAAAATAAAGAAAGTCAGTTATGATATAAAATAATTTATTAATTTAACATCTCTCTATGTGTACATACATGACACAAAGGCAGTTTTAGTAATTTCAAGCAAACTATCAGGATTCAACATTCATTATATTTATATTATACACAGTAAAACCTTCATTGTATCAAAATGATTGATTTTGATTACCTACAAGTCTAAAGTACTTACTATATAATATTTTACTTAATATTATGAATGAAAATGATATCGATAAATATTCACACGAAAGTAATATAATATCAAGTTGCACATGATTGGGATTGTAACACTTACACACATCACTAAAATCCTCTTACAAACATTTCAATCAAGACCAATTGGATGAATAGACGAACGCCCACCGAAAGGGTGCGGTTTCTTTGAACAAGTAACAATTGTCAACAGATTACATTTACTTTGGATAGAATTTCTTGCCGTCCCTAGCCATATCTACGAGAGTTTGAGCGGGCTTGAAAGGTGCTCCATACAGGCCATGGAACTCTTCCATCTTCTTAACCAACTTATCAGCACCATATTGGTCTACCCACCTGGAAAATGGATTAAGCGTTTATATAGTGTTACAAATGTGTAATGCATTTCTAAAAAATAACAATATTTGATAGTTATTGTAACTTTGAGGGCGATATAATTAATAAACATTAGCATAGTTACCTGAAAGGTCCACCGGTGAATGGCGGGAAACCAAGACCGAAGACAGCACCCACATCTCCTTCAAGAGGGCTGTGCAGGATCTTCTCTTCCAGGGAGAGAACAGCTTCATTAACAAATCTGTGGCAAGTATATGGTTTATTAAATTTAAAATATTTGTGTTCACAATTAAGGCATCAGAACAGGGTCTCCCAAAATATGAGTCGCGATCCATTGGTGGCTGCAAGTGAAATTTTAGTGGGCCTTGTCTGTAGGAAGTTGTACTAACCAACAGTTCTGTAATTGATAAAGTTTTGATTCCCTGATGGTTGGTCCTGAGTTTAGGAACTTGATTTGGATAGGTTGTAGTCCAGATAACTTTGGGAACCACTACATAAGACATTTTGAAAAACCAAACCAACATCATCATAATTATTTACATTAGTCCAAATTATTATCAACGCCAACTTACCTAGACACCATTCGCAGTTGCTGGTCTTCCGCCGTGTTAGCACCGCGAGCCTCCAATGGGTACCTCTCCTTGAGGATATTGACGGCTTCCTGGTTCACTTCCTTGTTCTTCGAGCCCTTTTCGTAGACATAGAAACCTTTGCCAGATTTCCTGCCAAGGAATCCAGCCTTGACAAAGTCGGGCATCACCTCCAAGTTACCACCACTGAAGCGATCTCCAAAGGCCTAAACAATGAAAATTATTTTTTACATTTTAGACTGTAAACTACTGACAAAGAGCTACTAAATCAGGTTAGTACTCAGTGGCCACCCCAAAAACAAATAGGGAAAAGGCAGGAGAAGGAAAGTACATTTTCATGTACACAAAGCACCGCTAATTAGTTGCAGCGCTACACATCGACACAACTGTCATTTACACAGTGTACATGTGTGCGTAATTTCATATAACTGTATATAAAAATATTCGTCCACCACGTTCACATTGGTATTTTCATTCTTGTGTCGGTATACGTATTTTTATAATTTAATGCATAGGTAAGGTTAAAACTATTTACAATCATTGATATGACCCGACATTTTCACTGTCATTATCGTAGTGCTCGTGGTCGATTGGTTAATGAGCACGCTTTTATCGTCTTTCAAGGATCAATGATGTGGGTTCTATTCCAGCTAAAAGTTAATTTTATTTTACCTTGTTATTTTTCTTATTTTTTTTTTTGTTTTTTGTCATAAAATATAAATATCAGGCTATAAAAGAAGCAAATGAGTTGGTAAATAAAACAATACTATTTTTTATTACAATTAATTTATTTATTATACAAATATGTTGTTTTATATTCAATATTTATATCTAATAATTAATTATATACCACATGTTAAGTTTAAAGTTCTTTAAATCATAATTAATAGATATGACAATAAACCTCATAGTCGAATCGGGAAATATCATGCGGTACAGCGGTAATACGATGGCAGCAACATTTTTTATTAAGTAGGTAATAAACAAATATACAACATTCTTGTTTTGTAATTTAATAATATAATGTATTATTAAATTACAGTTTTACAGTAATAAACAAGTAAAACATGTAAAAAATTACACTGTCAACATAATATTTCTTGAAATGGGCGACTTTTTGTCGTTTGAACTTCCATTAATTATCTATTTTACGACGGTTGTTATAAGGTTCAATATTCAGTGGGCTGTATGATAGTAAAAAGAATGTGACGAATGCTATGGAACGATTTTAACTTTCATGACCTTTAGAATCAGGGAAACTTTAAATTAATTGAAGATGGGCGTAAATATAATATGTCAATCAAGTTCGAAAGCAGTTAAATAAATTTGTTAATGAAAAATTAAAGTGAAGTGAATAAACATGTTGAATAGAAAGAAATTATGACAATTTCTAACCACAAAACAATAACATCACTTCACCGTATGTTCTAGACAGCATTTTAATATTCTTAAAAAAATTAAACATTATTTTATGTTAATTTTAATAAAGGCAGAGTTTGACAGGCTCAATAATTGATTCCGAAATCAATACAATCACTGATCCTACAAGGCAGAAGGTTGCAATTCGTATACCTTTCTCCATCTTTTCTTCACAATATTTTACGCCCATCCTTATCCGACTTGAAAGTCTTTTCGTCGCTCAATATGATTACACTGTTCGCCCAATCAAAGTAATAAAGTCCTAGCAAATTCTTAGCGCTTTTGCTGGTGAACCACAGATAACAATATTTTCTTCTCTGGCTTCCTGCACCTTAAACCAGAATGCAGGTGTCTCCGTACAGTTTGTATTAAAACATTCAGTGCTGTCGCTGTAGTGCGGGTTGGCAGGAACGGATCAGCCATGTGCCTGGCTACGATGTCGTAGTGCCGAGCCGATGAATTTGCCTTTGGTTTAGGCCCACGTCGACGATGTTTAACGTCACCGGTCTCCGCATATCTGTGCACCCATAACTGCATGGATCTCCTCTGTTGATACCAAACAAATAAGTATTTAAAATACCAGGAAATACTTTACAGGAATTAAAGTTATTTAAAAATAATAATAAATATAAGTAAACACAATGTTAGAATAATAATTTATAATTAAGTAGTGGCGTAAGGAATAAAAATCCCTAACCAGATATGTTTTAAAGAAACACTCCTAACAAAAACAAGTCAAGTTACAATACAATTAATAATAAATTATTAATATATCTTTATAATATTGAACTTCATAATAAGTTGCAATAATTATTTTATTCTAGTGCAAAAATTGATAGGTGTGTCGAGTTACAAAATGAAATAAATATTATTTAGAATATCAACGTAGTATCTTATTTACTCACCGATATCATTAAACGCCTTGCTATTTCAGTTATTGTTAGTTATGTTTTGCTCATGCAAAACAATGGTTTCAGCCTTTTTAAATGTTGATAGGTGTTGGAACATCTTGTAAAAATAAAAATAACTTTGCACACGAATATAAGTAGTGTAGCAATAAACTATGAAATCCTCATAAATTGACAACTAAGAACGCAATTATTTTGTAAGTCGGGTGATTTGAAAAACATGTTTTAAATAGTCGGTAGTTACTTCATAAGCGTGTAAAATAAAATGACTCGAGATTTCTATGGTCGCCACAAACATTGCAAATATACTCAGGTATCGAACCATTAAGAAATCACAGTTAATTACTTTTTTACTGTTTTTATCTTATTTAAGTTGGTTGAAATGCATGAAGCAAATGAGATTATTCTAAATAATAAATAACTAGAACTAAAATATAAATAAAAGATATTATAGGTATAAATAAATCTAAAGTATTTACTATTAAAATTAACATAAGATTTAGAACAATAGGAAAGGAAAAAAAAGAAAAGATTTAATTGTTTCTAATTTCAAATTTCAAATATTTGATAAATTAATTCTAAAACAACATGTGAATGTTGGAATCGATCCGGCGGCACTTTACTTGACAATTGGAGGCGATAACCATTGCGCCAAGCGCGCTGTAGATGAGATCATCGAAATATTTTATATCATTCAGTAACATAAAATTACAATGAGAAAGCACTATATTTATATGGGTATTGTATAGCTCGATCGTTCATTATTTTTGATTTCGATTTATTCAAAGTTTGTTATGAGTAATTTTATCTTTACCCTCGTTTTTATTTAAACTTATTTACTAAATTATTGCGTATACCGACACAAAAATGATTTTTAAATACCAAGATGTGTGTGATAGACGAATGTTTCTATACATATCTATTGATATGAAATTACCCACACATGTATATTGTGTAAATGATAGTTGTGTCGATGTGTAGCGCCGCTAACTAATTAGCGGTGCTTTGTGTACAAGGGATGTATTCGTGTACTCGTAGTTTTACTTTACCTTAGCTAAGTCGACGGCGATGTGTGATCCGACATCAATACCGACTTCGTCAGCCAATGTGACGGCACCAACAGGGAAACCAAAGTTCTTAGTGAGACTGTCCAAAGTCTTGGGGTCGACTCCTTCTTGTAGCAGTCTGTATAAACAAAGACAACACTTTAAACATCATCCTGTAGGTTTTTCAATTCATCAGTTTATTAAATAAACACAATATGTAGTTTACCAATGCCCATTTACTTTATGTTTTACATAAAAAATTGACAGAAATAAGTTAGTTCTTGACCATACCTGACGGCCTCACTAAGCATAGTAGAGAGAATACGAGTGGTGTAGAATCCAGGTCCGTCCCCAACAGTGATGACCACCTTGCCCTGGCGCAGGCCCACGCCCACAGCGGCCGCCGCCGTGTCGTCGCTGGTGCCGGGGTGACGGATGATCTCCAGCAACTGCATCTTGTCCACAGGGGAGAAGTAGTGCATACCTAAAATATCATGTTTAATTACAAATACGACTAAACTAGAAATGCATAACATAATAGTTGTTATAACATTGTTACTAGTGGGTTGTGTTTGTTTGCATTCATCAATCCATTGTTGTGGTACTTTATGTTTGGCAGTTTAGTTTCCTAACGTTAAAAGTAACTTACCGATAACCTTGTCAGGACGGGTACTGCCGGCAGCGATTTTCGTGATGGGAATAGCACTGGTGTTGGTGGCGAGGATAGCGTGTTTAGGGATCACAGCTTCGAGCTCCTTGATAACCTTGTGCTTGATGTTGATGTCCTCAAACACAGCCTCAATGACACAGTCGCATTTGCTCATCTTCTCATACTCAAGAGTGGGTAAGAGATTTGACAAGTACTTGTCTCTCTGCAGCCTAAAAATAAAGATAACAAAAATAAATATCGTCCTTATCTTCTATATTACAGATGTGTTTAAGAGGAGAGTGCCAAATTTATTCACCCAGTAATCCTCTTCCTTTTAACAGAGTTAGCCAATCCAGTTTGGATCTGGCCGACACCCCTGAAGAGACCAGCGTTGGTGGCATCCTTCATGACTACATGGTAACCTTTGTTGATGGACACTTGCACAATACCGGCACCCATCAAACCAGCACCAAGCACTCCGATCTAAGAAAACAATTAGCTTTAGCAGTGATATTACAAACACATTAATTTTATAGTAATCTGTTTATGAATTCTACTTTTATCTAAAGAGATAAGTACAAACATTTCCTACCTATAGCATCCTTGATGAAGTTTTGGAAAAAGAAAGCAAAATGATAAAATGAAGCTAAATATTTACAATCAATGTAATGACATAAATATGGTAATTTTGTACTTACCGATTTGACATCAACTTGGGACTTTCCAAACCTATTCTTCTTACATTCAGTTTGTCCTCTGAACAGCCCAATGAGACCTCTGCTCTGTGGAGTGACCGCGAGCTCACCAAAGCCTTGCGCTTCAGCTTCATAGCCAGCTGTGGGGCCTTTGTCGACACCGGTCCTTACCACATCAAGAATCTGAAAAGTATTTTTTTAATATTAAAAAACAATAACATATTGTTCCGCCTTTTGAAGGCCCATTTAAGTCTTTGCCAGTTAAAAGACTTTTTGTGATGGGTGGCAAGAATACTGTCAAAGCTAGGCGTGTACCTCAAGATAATGCAATCAATTAACAGCCTAATTAAAAATGAGTAAAACTTACTTTCAATGGTGCTGGGTAGAGACCACGCGAAGCTTTCATAACCTGCTCCTTGGCTTTGTTGAAGATCATGTTCTTCACCATATCCCATTGCATTACACTGGCAGTGATTTTCTGAACTAATCCCTTTTTAGATCTATCTACTTTCATTTTGCCATTTGCAATGTCTCTTGCAACTTGAATGGCTACAGTCTCTAAGTATCTCATTGTGTTGTCTTCTGGTTTACCTAAACCTATGAACATAGAAGTAGAACATTATATATAATCTATTTTAATAAAAATGGATCCCCAAAATGAACCTTCGTACACCCATAACTATTGAATGACTGCATCGACTTACATATTAATATTTTTGTCGTGTTCGTTATCGTTACGACAGAGTTCGGGAGTATAAAAACAAGATTCAATACTTTCATCAAGAACATCGGGAAATAGCAACCAGGCGAAGCTGGGGTAGGCTGCTAGTATCTTATATGTGCACCATGGCATAAAATAATTATTTGAAGTAAATTATTTACCTGGACCAAGAGGGGAAACTAACAGATCAACTATTCCCAACTTCTTAGCCTTATCTGCTTTTACAGTCTTTCCAGTGAGAGCTAGGTCCAAAGTCGTGGGAACTGAAGTAAGCACTGGCATCCTTGAAAAACAAAATCACATTGAATAGGGATGATGACAGGGTATGAAAATTAAAAATCTTATTAGTCCGTCAGTTAGGTAATGAAAAAATATTAGACACGTATTTTTTTATTTTGTTGTATAATAAAATGATACATAGATATAACGAATCAAAGTTTAGGAGTGGGGGCTAAAACGTCATTTCTACGTATAAAATGCACATAGAAGTGACGTCACGCGACATTTCAAATCAATATATCGACGAAAGTATTCTTTTCTGTAAGAAAATAAAAAATACGGGTGTAATGTTTTAAAATAATCTACGAGACAGACATTAAAATAAAAATTTGTCATCTACCCTATTGAATTCACATATAATTGGAACATCACAATAAAAGTTGAGATTATATCTATGCAACACCAAATGGCCTTGAACTAAGTTCATTCATGTGATCTAATCTGAACAAAATTCATTGCCAAGGACATGTGAAAATACATATTTGTAAGTATGTACTCTTATGTAGGTACATCTCTTAGATACATGTATTTATTTATATCATGATTATGCACAATATTTGGCAACCTTGCTCTGAATATTATTTCATTGCCAAGTATGTGATCTTATATAATGTGATCTTCATCCAGGTCATGGTTATTTCCTTATTATAATTTTTGTTACTATGACTTCTGACTTGCCATTCCAGTGATCTCTCAATGGAATGGCACTTCTTGGTGGACTAAAAGTTTTATTTGTATTAATTGATTGAAAAATATAGCACTGAATTGTATTTACTATAAACAACTATAGCTAAATTATTAAAAATGCATTGATTCACAGGTTGCATTGTATAGTATTATTTATTATAGGCAGTTGCATAACTATACCAATGGACGCCCATGGAAAATTTATCTAACTGAAGACCTAATAAATATAACAAAGAGATACGGTAGATGAAAGCTTCTTTCAGCTGGGGCCTGTGGCATTTTGACGCCTTGCCATCCTGTAGTTACGCCACTGATTGTAGGGTACACAAGTAAAATTAATATACCTTTGAGTACCACCACCTCCAGGCAGCAGTCCTAACATAACTTCTGGAAGACCAAATCCAGTCTTGGGATCCTTCACAGCAATACGGTAGTGGCATGCCAGAGCTGTCTCCAAGCCACCACCAAGGCAGCTACCCTGGATGGCAGCGATGATAGGTTTACGTGACTTCTCAATTCTATGGAAAATGCCATGACCTGTAAAAATAAAAACAGTATTAATTTTACTTATTTGAATTTTTTATTAAATTGAAGCCTTGTACTGTAGACAGAAAACTGTTGAAAGCAAATGTGCCTAAGCTTTGGTCACCAGACAAAAATATTTCTATTGGTTCCTTTGCTTACTAATATTTTTTATTATGATAATTTTATGTCGCTTTATTGATTTACTTAAGTTATATTATTTTCATCATAATTAAGTATATTTTTTTATTTTTCATCATAACTAAGACTGTACGGTTGGTGCGGTAGTTAGGTAACCGACTGCCACATACCGTGTCGCGGGTTCGATTCCCGCACGGAATAAACCTATGTGTGATCCACAAATAGTTGTTTCGGGTCTGGGTGTCATGTGTATGTCAACTTGTATGTTTGTAAACGCACCCATTTTATTTAAAAAAAATCATGACTATGTAGTTTGTACATATTTCAATTATGTATGGTACTAATAAAATAACTTAAACTGTTAAAAATTTTTGAAAATCATCCCCTAAATTTGTTCATACAAAAGTAGTCTCTAAACATTGGAAATAAGGTCTATAATGTAGTTAGTGGAGAGCGGTCACCGGTGACCGCTTTGAAATATACGGGTTAATCAGAGAAATCATAGTATTTTATGATTTTCCTAATTATTTTTAATTGTGTAATAGAAATAACAAACAAATTAAGCTTTATCAATGTCATGAAACTCTGTAATTAGCTTAAGAGATAACTGTCATCATCTCACTATTATTAAAGTATAAGTAAGAAATAAGCTGTTAAGTTGTTTAATAAATAAACAGCCAATAAATCATTGGCATTAAAGATTTATAGACAAGAATTTTAGTTGATAATACTAAAATTAATTAGAAGATTTATTTAAATAACAAACCTCTTTTAGAAAGTGTCACAAATTCATCTTTGGTGTTGCATGCCTCCAGCATGGTGATATCAGCTCCAGCAATAAAGCATCCTGGCTTGCCTGATATTAGGACTGCTGCTTGAATAGCGGGGTTTGATTCAATCTCATTAAGTACAGTTGTCACCTCATCCATAACAGCAGTGTTTAAGGAATTCACCTGAAATTATCAATCATTTAGCAATGAGGAGTCATCAACCTTTCGTAATTGGATTCCAACTGGAAACCAACATAACCAATTGATTTAGTATTTTTATTTAATGTTATGTAGTGATAAATTTGTTGCCTACATTTAAAAGTATTCTAAATATATATAGTAGATAAACAAAATGGTAAAGACGAATTGAAACATCAAGCAATATCAATTTTTGTTTTTATCGTTATGAATTTGTGATATTACAATGCAAACCGGGGCATTTCTTTGGAATATTGTCATACTATGATTGATTTACCTTGGTATTAGGTGAATCAAGGGTAACCACATAAACGCCATTGACGATTTTACACTTGGTATGCACCAGACTACCTGCTGCTGCAGCATAGTTTCTGCTGTGTAGACCTAAAACAATGATGAAAATGGCAATAATCAGAGTTTAAAACTGGAACGACACCAAATATTTGCATATTTTTACCAATAGTAAAATTATTGATAAAGTTTGCCGACGAATGAAATTATTGAGAAAGTCACACAAGTAGTTCTTACCAGTTAAATATTTCAGATCCTTGCGGGTCCTTAATATCTTAAGGGCACTAAATATTTTACTGTTCGACATATTTAAAAGTTATATATACTATTAAAATCTAAATGAACGATGAAATAAAACTACTAATTAAATAATTTTGGACCCAGACTTTGAACCTAAACTTTCGTCGTGATGTAGGAAGTTAAAGGGGGTGAAGGAGGTGAGAGGAGGGTGCGATGCAGACCAGGGTTACCAACTCCTAAAACCATTTACCCCTAACACCAAGATGAAATCTCCCTAAATTACCCTAAATGCAATATTCAATACCCCCAAAAAAAGCCCCATATATTTTTTGTAACTATTCAAGGCTAAGCAACAATGATACTAGCGCCTTCAATTTTCATATTGATTGTGACGATCATGAATGTTAGTTAAAAAAGCACTTCTAAAGAATTTTTGTTTAGTAACAATGCTTATTTGTTACACACGTGACACGACCAATTTTCACAATTTTTAAAAATAAGTACGTGACCATTTTTTTTAGTGAAAAGTGGGTGTTACATTGTACAGTGGTATGATGTGCACCTCTGCCTACCCGTTCGGGGATAAAAGCCATGATGTTATGCATAGCATCATGTGTAGCATCATGGTGTTGATTTATCTATTGTTAACCCAAATAAGTTTTAATTAATTAAGAAGGTAAAAGGTAACGTAAACAATATAAAACCTAACCTATTAACTAGATAAATAAATATCTACTGTATTTTGTCAATCGTAAAAGCAATAAATTATAAAGTAATAACATTTTGTTTTTTCGTTTTGGTCAGTCAATTACATTGTAGTCGTGATGCTAGAAATTATTTACGCCCCTAAAAAAAGTCCCCAAATTATTTAGGGCCCTAAAAAAGTCCCACTAAGCATAATTACTCCCTAAATTTAGGGTTAAAAGCCCTAAGTTGGGAAGCCTGATGCAGACGTCAAATAGAACAGCCGTCACTTTTTTTGTTCCGATGAAAATATAAATACTAGTCTTTTAGCAGAAAATTCAAAAGATTTATCTAGAAATAAAAGATTTTATTTCTTCATCAAATTATATATAAAATTGTTTAATTAACTATAATATTATTGCAGTTCCTCAAACTCGGAACAAGTTAGAATATATTACGCCCGGCCCATTGACAGTGAGTCAGTGAGCCGAGTCGGAGGATATTCAGTCAGGAGAATGGAGAAGTCAATGAGTCAGAGGAGTGAAGTGGTGAAAACCAAAGAGTATAATAAGTGTGAAAACGATCAACATGACGGAAGGACGACAGTGTCAATGTCAATTGTCAAATAAATATTATCAACAATGATTACAATGAAATTGTTTATTGGTTTTTTTGATAATTAAAAAGTAGTAGGAAGTAAATTTATAACGTGTCGTTTACATTTATTTATATAAAAATAACAGACAGGTAAAAACCCTAAGTAACACCTAAATTGTCGGTTAATTCACAATTTATATTTACTGCAATAGAAAGTTAAAATTAACACTTAAACCTAATTCTATTTAGTTATTACCGTAATAATAACTATATTTCCTCTTTTTCTGTTGTAGGTACTCCATACAATAAAGTAATGGTGAATTATTAAACACAAATAAGAGATCTCTTATTCTATAACAAAATGCTAATGAAATTGGAGTTTATTAAAAATAAACAGTTGAGAAGGCTGACAGAACACAGCTTTTATATTGCCATTACATTAATACTTATACCAGCATTTCTTTACTTCGAACTATGCATTGTATTACCAGCAATAGTGGAGCAGTGGAGCTTTGAGTTCTATTGTCATATAGCCTGTGCAGCGTTTTTGTTACTAAATATCATGGGCAATATGATTTATGGGATGTTTACAAATACTACAATAAAAGGCAAAAACCTTGAAGGATTCAATAAGGAAGACTGGACTTTTTGTAGTGTGTGTGAATGTTTAAGACCACCGCGATCTTGGCACTGTGACACATGTGATATCTGTACTTTAAAGAGGGACCACCACTGCACATTTTTCGCATGTTGCGTTGGGTATTTTAATCATAGGTATTTTATGCTGTTCACTTTTTACATCTTTGTAGCTATGTTATACTCTTTATTTTACAATATAAAATTTGTATCTCAATTCATAACTTGGAACCATGGACTGATATTGGTCAAATTTATCTGTCCACTAGCTAGCATTGTTATTGACTTTGGAGATGAAAGTCTTTATGTTTTCTTGGTAGTCATAAATGTGTTAGTTGGCCTTTTTACTGGATTTTTATTTATATACCATTTCAATAATTTACTTAAAGGAAGATTGGTTCATGAAAGTAAGACTTATACCAAAGATTTTATCCATAATAGGGGATGGAAGCTAAATTTGACAGAAGTTTTTGGGGAGAGATGGTATCTGACTTGGATTTCTCCCTTCATCCTTAGCAGATTACCAGGTAATGGTATTGAATGGAATGTAGAAGATAAGTACAAATTGTATTAATGAGCTTTCTAAGGAAGTGAATTATAAACACTGAATTACATGCCTCTATATGTATAGATATGTTACATACTGCATAGCAGGAATCAACGAAATTCAATATTAGAACATGATCTGAAGTTTTTGGTTAACCATTTGGTCTCCAAATTATTGTTTTATTTATCATCAGATAAGGCATAGTCCATAATATTATTACAGTACTCAATATGAAGAGTTATAAACAGTGAGGTACTTAATATTATTATTCATGAACAATATACTTAATGTGATTATATTGGTGCCATTAAAAATAGCTAATGAGTTTATACTCATGTATTTTATAAACATATAATAATAATTGCCTTACAAAGTGATATGCAATGCCTTACTAAGATAGGAATAAAATAGTATTATTATACACAAGTAAAATATTTTACAGAAGCACAAATGGTTATTTTACCAATTAAATGTTATATTTGTACTTATTAAAGTCTACTTAAAATTAATATACTTATATCAAATGTATAACAGCATTTACAACATTTTTGATTAATAATAAATGAGACTTGTTGTTCCTTGTATAATATATTTAATTCACCAGTGTAAAGTGTGGCAATAAAGATTTTACACATTGATATTTTGTTTATAATTTAAAAAAGAAGTAATAATAATTTTCTAAACCTATAAAAGTATATACTAATAATTATTTACATGTATTATAGGAAAATTATACCGAGATCTCTATTCTCTTTCTGAATTATTACTATTTGGTAGTATTTGTGCTAAGTATCTACTGCGTATTCTATCGGACTGGGCTTGGGCGGTGTCACGTGGATTAATAGACATATGATCTTGCGTCGCGTCAGACGGTCTTCTTGAATCAGTTTCTTCTTGATCTGTAAAGTCTTCATTATCTAACAGATGTGCAGTTTCGTCAGTTCGTGTAACCCTGCAAAAATTAAAATTTATCGTGAATAAATGCGGATCAGTCCATAAATAAGAATTTGAACAAGTTTATATTTAAACTTACGTAGACTTGGTAGACTCCCTCATGCTTGGTGACATGTTCAGGACTCCATTATTTGCTGAGTCAATTATGTATATAAGTACAGCCGCAATCAGTGATACTGGAAATAAAGTTCAAATTAGGTCATACAATGTGCCTATTATCAACTTTATTAAAGTCAAGTAGGTTAATTATCATACCAAAGAGACATCCTAAGAAGAACATTTCTAGCATTAAGTATCCATATTTGTCAACAATCATTCCTGCAAAGATTATGACTGTAGCTAAGCCCATGTTCTGCACTGCTTGACATCTGAAAATAGATAAAAATTTCTATCATTAACTTCTTTGTTATTTTACATATTTTTCATAAACTTTACAGCCTTGACTTTTAGTTATTCTATTACTCAAACATAACAACCATACCATGGTTTTGATAATACATTTTAAGTGAATCTAATAACCATTTAAAGCCATGTTATGACTTATGACTAAAGAGCATTGGAGCGAAACTTAAATAAAAATCTTACATTCCATATGCAGTTCCTAATTGGTTTTCTGGAACAATTAGGGCTACCAGTGGCCACAAACCACTAGCCAGTAGGGAATAAGAGATACCCAATGATATCTGAAAAACAAAGACCATTTAATAAAAGAAAATATAGTTGAAAAATAGAAGTGGATTATTCAATTAGTTTGTGTTTCTTACCACACCAATATATGGGTTGAAGAATGTAAAAGCCAACATAAAATGTGCACCAATTGTTGTCACAATGCTTATTATAACCCAGGTCATATTTCTTCCAGTCTTGTCAATGAGAATGCCAAAGAATGGACTTAAAGCTGCCGATAGCAAATAAACCATGGAATTGACGTTGTTGGCCTCTTGTGGCAAGAAATCGAATTTTCGCTCAAAGAATAATCTGAAATTGAGATATTTATTATAATTGAAATTCTTGTAATATTTGCAACAAAGTTATTAATGTACACAAAGAGGGCAATTTAGATACAATGGAAAAATTCAGACAGTTACTCACTTTCCCAAGGCAATAAATGGAAAGATGGCTAGATAATAAGCCACACAAATTACAGACAACAGCCAAAACACTGATTTGAAATGTCTAATGTCTGTCAGATGGAAGGGCTCACTGTTGCTTTGTTCATCTTGTCTTCCTAGAATTTTTTCAGCTCTGTAATCCATCCAGCCAAGAATCACGCCACAAATAAGGGACACAAAGCAAGTTAGTGAGGCTGAAAATATAGATTGTATTAATATGGAAATGATACAAGGGTTTGTGACAATTGTACAGGTATATTTAAATTGTAGCAATACAAACCTAGGAACAATGTAACTCCCAATCTTTCATATCCTCCATAATATGTGGAAACCCATCTGTAAACAGGTTCCATCACCCAAAAATTGACAGTACTTCCGAAACGGGAGAATGATAACTGCAGTCCAAATACCATGTTAAGTTCCTTGCCCTTAAACCAAAGGACAACATAGTTGTTTACTACTACTTGCAGTGATTCTCCACCAATACTGAAAAATAAATAATGTTTATTCACTACTTACAGTGAAAGAAAAGATATAAGTATATATAAAATGTTATAAAATTAGACTGCCTCGTTGGCCGAGTGGTCGCAAGTGTGACTGCCGGGCAAGGGGTCTCGGGTTCGATTCCCGGGTCGGGCAAAGTATTACTGGGTTTTAAAAGAAATCTCAGTAATAGCACGGAGTCTGGAATTGTGCCCGGTATATGTCAATAGGCTCACCCCCTATTACATAGGACTCATAACATAAATAGTGAAAAGTGGGTGTTTCATTGTACAGTGGCATAATGTGCACCTCTGCCTACCCCTTCGGGGGTAAAAAGCGCGATGTTATGTATGTTATAAAACTAGCTTGTAAAAATAGGGTGCCCAGTTCTATTACATTAAAAAAAATACATAAGTAACATCATTTATTATCTATTGATTTATAATGAATCATCAGCATATGTATATGAATTATTCATTTTATGAAAATTGTAAGTGAAATAAATATTTTTTCTAAGATAATATTTACTAAATTAGGTTTTTCTTTTAATTGTGTCTTGTGATTTATTAACTTCTATCTGATACTCACCCAAACACAAATCTGCCAAGTATCATCAACCAGAATGCATTAATATACACTCCGAATGCAAATATAACAGCTCCAATAAACACAATTGTCATATAAATCACTGTGCCCAATCTTACGCCAAAGTACCTGAAATTAAACAGAAAATCTAAATTTCATTTTGTCAATAAACAGTGTCAATAGTATTGAGGCCACACATGTTGCTATGTACTCATAACATTCTCAATATTTCAATAATATAATTGGACTCAATAGGGTCACAGATATTGTAAACATCATATCATTTGCTCTTGATTACCTATACATAATATGTATATTAAGTGCAATGTGCATACTGTTCTAAATACCTAAAGATAAAATGTAATTTGTTTTGTCAATGTTGAAACAGGATAGGCCAACATTGTTTATTGTATTCATAAGTATTTCTAACAATAATTATGCTATCTAAGTGTATTTGAGTAAAATGTGTGCTCATTATTAAAAACAAACAAGCTGTAATTAGTTGCCGTTTAAAAACATGGATTTGACTCTAATTACATTAGCAATGGTACTAAGTAATATATATTATATACAGTGGATGTATTGCAAAATACACCCCCTTTTTACTTAAGTCTGCCATTTATTTTCTGAGATACAGTTATTGACTGAAAGATGATACCATTGATTTTCTATCTATGTGAAAGTACCTGATCAATTATTATATTTATTATTTTATCTAAGTAATATGGATCATGCAAATATAGGTCTCAAATTATAGTTAGAAAATTGCACACCCCTACAGAGCAAAAGGGTGCTATATTTTAAACAAATATTTCTAAACTCAACAAACAAAGTTATGTTAGCGGTCATAATGAAGTGATAAACAAAATAATAATTATTATGAAACATACCTATCAACGAGATAACCGCCTATGAAACACAATACCACATTTGGCCATGAGTATATTGAGTAAAGCAATGCAAACTGGGATGTGTTCAAGTGTGAGTCATCTTTGAAGTTGTCAGCCAGTGCACCGGGAGTATCATAACAAAAGTATGAACCTGAAACAGGAAAATTGATTGTTCTTATCATTACTGTTAACCTATCAAGGTCAAAAAAACCAATAAAAAATTGTTATTTATAAAATTATTTAAAATCATATTTTTATAATAAACTTTTTCTTATCATACATTAAATATAATATTAGGTATAAGTATTTTCAAATTGACTTCTCTTTTGAATAGATTCACTGAGGGTCCATTGTATTTACAACAATAGACCCCTATCTCGACAATTTTATTACAATTTAGAGACACATTCATTGTTAACTTACCAAAACAAAGGAAGCACATTAGCAACAGTGCAAAAAATCTATGTACTCTATTAGCTGGGTGACACCATGATGTGGGCTGCAGCATGGTGGGCCGGTTACTCCCACTAGTCTCTGGAGCCTCCATAGTTATCACTTCACTTTTTTATGAAACTTAAAGCTTTTTAATTACAATAAACTTAATTTGAAACAGATGTATGGATATCCTTGTTGTACATCCATTCACTTTGGTTGCTGTGATAGGTTTATTTTACTATGATAACACTGGCGTTTACTGGGGCCTACAATTAAATGCTAGTAATTAAAAAAGTATCTAGGAAACAACAATGCACAATTTCGCAGTCCAAATTTATCTTTTGATTGCGCAGCACTTTTTACAATAAATTGTCAAAGAGTCACATTATTTCTATATCGTATCAGGTCGAGGTTTAATTAATTATTAGAAACAATTGTCGAGATTAATACAAATCGACGTCTGATTGCGATAATGCAATTGTGTTTTGTTCAATGAGAAATAATAATTTGTAATCACGTCAACAATTCATTCATCAAGCTGTCAATGTCAGCTGTCACATGAAATAGAATGTCACTATTTTTTTAAATTTTGAAGTCACAGAACATAGTATTTTTGCTGTAGTTTATAAGTTGTTCTTTTCACGTTTTTTTCTGGTTTAATCACATAAACTCTATATTTAACCGCATCCCCAAAAAATGTACTAATCATTAATCAATTAGTCTGGGAAGCTCTTGGTGAAGATTATAAAGTGAAAAGTTTTCAATATAGATCTTTTTTTCTGCTAACAAACTTAAAAACATCAGATTTGAGGTCAATAATTTAAACATATTTCGATTATGCTAGTAAATAGTTGCTTCTTATCGGTGCTGAACCAATGACATGTTGCACAGATGGCTACTTATCAACAACAACAACTACTTCAACCTCGAATTCGATACTCAATATTATTAGACAAGTCTAGGTTCTAGGTGTATTATGTTCTTCTGTATTAGAAACGTATAACAATAAATAAACGTTACGTTTAAAAAACCGACACCAAAAATAAAAAAAACTAAAAGTTCAAAATAACTACACTAGTATGTAGGTAGGTATGCAATAAGTTCTAGGTACTTGCTTACGGAATACTACATGGAATACGAAATCACCTGTCCTAAACACACCAAAGTAAACTCTGTTTACAGTTCCAATATTCTGTTATGAGTTTGTGGCACCGACTTCCAATCTATCAGAAAGTCCTGTGCAGGACTATGAGCCTGCTCTTTCTCTACAAAAGTGCACAATGTGCACATCCTTGCAATCTACTGCCCATGATTGTAAGACTTTTTTTGAGGGGGAAAAATCATCCAATGGTTTCTCCCGCCTTGGGTTAGGCGAGAGGGAGTGCCAGACTCTTACTTTTGTACTCCCGCTTTTCGAGCCGGAGCCCCGGCAATCATTCCGCGGCTTCGTATTGGGATGCTTGTTATATTGCACTGATAATAAAAGCCAAGTCAAAATCATTTACCTATTTCAATTAGACCAGGATGGCAAATATTAAAATATTAATGTAAGTCTGTTGATCAGCCCTCTAGTGAAGCTATTTGCTCGTTCCAAAGTGTAGATTCCTATGGAGAAAAACGAGCAAGAAACTCCATAGTTACTCTTTTTCAATCAAGTTCACATCACAATACAAATCAACTCTAAAATAAACTGATTGTTTATTCAGCTATCAATTAATTGAACTTATTAGAGCTTAAGGATTGTACCTATAGTGCTCGTTTTTCCCAGTTTTCAGTAATATATTTTTTTAATTAAACACTCTTTTATTAGTCTTATGCCCAATCTCACCAATCAATCCTTACCGTGACGCATCACCTAAACTAACCACTTACTTGTACTGTTTTGTGATATGTGTCACTCATGAGAAGGTAAAAACCAAATTGTCGTAAATGCCACCTAACTTGGCTTAGGAGTTCCTTAAAACTTTGGAGAAGATGATAAAAACAGGTATTAGGTACCTATCTACTGCTATCTACTCATGTTTTCTGAACATTTTTGAACCATCCGAGAACATCAATAACATTCAAATATCATATAGGTGAAATAAAATTTACGAGACTACAAATAATTTTGGCTAACTTCGGCCTTTAAAGTATCTACAGAAAGCTGTCTTGGCACGGAGCACTAACAGATCACCAACTGACCTACTAACAATGGAAGCGAATTCAGCACTTCTGATGTGCAATAGGAAATAAAAAAATGACAAAATTGTAGTAGGTTTTTCAGGTTTATATACTAAGACTATGAAAACTTCAGACGAATCGTTTGTGACATTATTATGTTTGTCCACAGTACTGCATTGCAATGTAATGCGGTAGCATCTCCCTAATCATTATATTTGAGACAAGTAATGTGAAAAGCAGTATTGTATATAAGTTGTTGTGGCGACAATGTGGCGGTAGCAGTGGTAGTGGCGACGGTGAACTGCGCTGCGTAGAGTACGCAGTGCGCAGGGCGGGCGGGGCGCGGCGGGCGGGCGGCGCGTCGTGCCGCGGGCGCGCAGTGCTCCTCGCGCAGGACCGGAGTGGTGTTCACTCGGCGGCGCGCCACGGCGCGACATGCCCAGCTGATGTTTATTTATACCGCGAGCTCGGTGGAGGGTGCGCGCGGGAGGCCCTCCCCTCCGCGGCACCACGGTTTCGCGTGATGCAGCCGAGCGAGCTAGCCGACGCCGCGCACGCCGCTAGCGGAAACCCCCCGCAGCGTGGCCTCAACGGTGGCCGTTTCGACTTTGACGATGGTGGTACTTATTGTGGTGGATGGGAAGACGGCAAGGCCCACGGCCACGGAGTGTGTACTGGACCCAAAGCTCAGGGAGCTTACGCCGGCTCCTGGCACTTCGGCTTTGAAGTTTCCGGTGTCTACACCTGGCCCAGGTGAGATAGTGACTTCGCCCGGGCCTCGCACACGCCCGAGCGCAAATCCGCGTCCGAAGCCGCTCCAAAAATAGGCTGCTATTAATAATTGAGTTCGGTGTTTCGCTAGAAAACGCGTGTAACGGCGGTGAAAGTGCCTCATGGCCCAATCTCAGCGAAAATATTCATATCGATCGGTAGACGCTGATAACAACATGACGTGATAACAGTACTTATCATGATTATCATAGTTAAGTCCTGGTGTCGATTGACTTGTCATCGTTGGAGACATCTCCATAGACGATCCGAGTTGAAGACTAGGAAGCGCTATTTTATAAATCTTGATTGAAGCAATTTAACACAATTGGCTAGATGAGGCTGATTTAAAAGAAATACGTATTGCGAGTCTTGCTAATGTTTTGCAAATGTTATGCAAATCCCAATAGACAATAGAAAAAAGATGTTCAATAAACAATGTATTGGCCAGTCAACTAATTTGTCCCTATTATACATGTCTAATTAAATGAATTTTATGTAGTCATGACATTCACGTGTTCATTCTTTCCGTTATCTAATGCTTTTACAATTAAGTAACTACATAATTGTTTTATGTAATGGAAGTACATACCTAGATAGGTGTGTTATAATTCATTAGAGTGTGGCAGTAACAGTCTGAAAAGTGTTACTATGCGTATCAATAGTCAATAGCCAGTGTCTGCGAATTAACCCGTCGCTCGACCTAAATCACGTCTTAACCTTACAGTTAGCTGTTTATGACTTCTTAGACCTACTCTAATTTTAATTATTTTATACAGTCCACCAAATTTATGATGCGTGTCCTAAAGACTATCTACGTAATGTATCTAACTGTCCAATTAATACTCTAAATATCAATAAACATCATAGGTACACAAAGCACCGCTAATTAGTTGCAGCGCTACACATCGACACAACTGTCATTTACACAGTGTACATGTGTGCGTAATTTCATATAACTGTATATAAAAATATTCGTCCACCACGTTCACATTGGTATTTTCATTCTTGTGTCGGTATACGTATTTTTATAATTTAATGCATAGGTAAGGTTAAAACTATTTACAATCATTGATATGACCCGACATTTTCACTGTCATTATCGTAGTGCTCGTGGTCGATTGGTTAATGAGCACGCTTTTATCGTCTTTCAAGGATCAATGATGTGGGTTCTATTCCTAAAAGTTAACTTTATTTTACCTTGTTATTTTCTTATTTTTTTTTGTTTTTTGTCATAAAAAATAAAATATCAGGCTATAAAAGAGCAAATGAGTTGGTAAATAAACAATACTATTTTTTATTACAATTAATTTAATTATTATACAAATATGTTTGTTTTATATTCAATATTAATATCTAATAATTAATTATATACCACATGTTAAGTTTAAAGTTCTTTAAATCATATAATAGATATGACAATAAACCTCATAGTCGAATCGGGAATATCATGCGTACAGCGTAATACGATGGCAGCAACATTTTTATTAAGTAGGTAATAAACAAATATACAACATTCTTGTTTGTAATTTAATAATATAATGTATTATTAATTACAGTTTTACATAATAAACAAGTAAAACATGTAAAAAATTACACTGTCAACATAATTTTTGAAATGGGCGACTTTTGTCGTTTGAACTTCCATTAATTATCTATTTTACGACGGTTTGTTATAGGTTCAATATTCAGTGGGCTGTATGATAAAAAGAATGTGACGATGCTATGGAACGATTTTAACTTTCATGACCTTTAGAATCAGGGAAACTTTAAATTAATTGAAGATGGGCGTAAATATAATATGTCAATCAAGTTTCGAAAGCAGTTAAATAAATTTGTTAAGAAAAATTAAAGTGAAGTGAATAAACATGTTGAATAGAAAGAAATTTGACAATTTCTAACCACAAAACAATAAATCACTTCACCGTATGTTCTAGACAGCATTTTAATATCTTAAAAAAATTAAACTTATTTTTATGTTAATTTTAATAAAGGCAGAGTTTGACAGGCTCAATAATTGATTCCGAAATCAATACAATCACTGATCCTACAAGGCAGAAGGTTGCAATTCGTATACCTTCTCCATCTTTTCTTCACAATATTTTACGCCCATCCTTATCCGACTTGAAAGTCTTTTCGTCGCTCAATATGATTACACTGTTCGCCCAATCAAAGTAATAAAGTCCTGAGCAAATTCTTAGCGCTTTTGCTGGTGAACCACAGATAACAATATTTTCTTCTCTGGCTTCCTGCACCTTAAACCAGAATGCAGGTGTCTCCGTACAGTTTGTATTAAAACATTCAGTGCTGTCGCTGTAGTGCGGGTTGGCAGGAACGGATCAGCCATGTGCCTGGCTACGATGTCGTAGTGCCGAGCCGATGAATTTGCCTTTGGTTTAGGCCCACGTCGACGATGTTTAACGTCACCGGTCTCCGCATATCTGTGCACCCATAACTGCATGGATCTCCTCTGTTGATACCAAACAAATAAGTATTTAAAATACCAGGAAATACTTTACAGGAATTAAAGTTATTTAAAAAATAATAAATATAAGTAAACACAATGTTAGAATAATAATTTATAATTAAGTAGTGGCGTAAGGAATAAAAATCCCTAACCAGATATGTTTTAAAGAAACACTCCTAACAAAAACAAGTCAAGTTACAATACAATTAATAATAAATTATTAATATATCTTTATAATATTGAACTTCATAATAAGTTGCAATAATTATTTTATTCTAGTGCAAAAATTGATAGGTGTGTCGAGTTACAAAATGAAATAAATATTATTTAGAATATCAACGTAGTATCTTATTTACTCACCGATATCATTAAACGCCTTGCTATTTCAGTTATTGTTAGTTATGTTTTGCTCATGCAAAACAATGGTTTCAGCCTTTTTAAATGTTGATAGGTGTTGGAACATCTTGTAAAAATAAAAATAACTTTGCACACGAATATAAGTAGTGTAGCAATAAACTATGAAATCCTCATAAATTGACAACTAAGAACGCAATTATTTTGTAAGTCGGGTGATTTGAAAAACATGTTTTAAATAGTCGGTAGTTACTTCATAAGCGTGTAAAATAAAATGACTCGAGATTTCTATGGTCGCCACAAACATTGCAAATATACTCAGGTATCGAACCATTAAGAAATCACAGTTAATTACTTTTTTACTGTTTTTATCTTATTTAAGTTGGTTGAAATGCATGAAGCAAATGAGATTATTCTAAATAATAAATAACTAGAACTAAAATATAAATAAAAGATATATAGGTATAAATAAATCTAAAGTATTTACTATTAAAATTAACATAAGATTTAGAACAATAGGAAAGGAAAAAAAAGAAAAGATTTAATTGTTTCTAATTTCAAATTTCAAATATTTGATAAATTAATTCTAAAACAACATGTGAATGTTGGAATCGATCCGGCGGCACTTTACTTGACAATTGGAGGCGATAACCATTGCGCCAAGCGCGCTGTAGATGAGATCATCGAAATATTTTATATCATTCAGTAACATAAAATTACAATGAGAAAGCACTATATTTATATGGGTATTGTATAGCTCGATCGTTCATTATTTTTGATTTCGATTTATTCAAAGTTTGTTATGAGTAATTTTATCTTTACCCTCGTTTTTATTTAAACTTATTTACTAAATTATTGCGTATACCGACACAAAAATGATTTTTAAATACCAAGATGTGTGTGATAGACGAATGTTTCTATACATATCTATTGATATGAAATTACCCACACATGTATATTGTGTAAATGATAGTTGTGTCGATGTGTAGCGCCGCTAACTAATTAGCGGTGCTTTGTGTACATGGGCTTTGTCAAAACACTGTAAAAAAAGTTCCGAATAAATATTGACGCATGATACTCTATCAATTTTAATTAGTTCGAACTAAAAAATTGGTTTCGACACCTTCTGACATCAGCTACTTATAATTAAATTAATAACTAGGCTTTTAGCTACCTATGTTGGAAGTTAGGGATTACACGATACATAAACGAGGCTAGCTGATCTTGTTTCAAGATCATCAAGTGGTCTCGGTAACTGAGACGATGTTCGTATTATATGAAGATACGTTTATTTAATTAAATTATAATGAAGCTGTAATCTGGTATATGGGACAGATATGAAGAAAAGAAAACAAGAATAGTACAGGGGTATCCTTTTTCGTAAGAGCAATGACCCAATGAAAGTTCGCATTTCGTATGAGTTTGTTCTGATGTAACCGGAAGGTCTGGCAACGGCTCTGCATTTTATTCTCACTTCTGATTATACAGCGTGTATCAATTTAGATGGAAAATATAAAGTAACCGCAGTTATGATAATTAGGTACGGTATGAAAAATTTTTTGGAAATTTTCTAATGAGTGACAAACGTTATTGAAACTTCTGTTTTCCATAGGTAATTAATTAGTATTTAAGATGGTTGTTGTACTAAACTACCGAACAACAGCATTATTTAATTTAAACATTGTTCCAGTGTAGAGTTTGGTACAGATAACGTTATAACGTAGGCATTGCACTGAATATTTAAAGTGCAATCGCCAGTACCCAGACATTCATAAAAGCTTAATTTAATTTCAGGCTTTCTGCTGGTAAATTTGAAGTTTACTTTGTATTTGTATGAACTCCCTACCAACTTAAATGGAATATAAGATACTAATTATGATAATTAACTATTAATTACGTCCTAATTCTGAAACAAAGCAAACAAACAAGTTTGGGAGAGCCATGCTTCGGCACGAATGGGCCGGCTCGACCGGAGTGATACCACGACCTCACAGAAAACCGACGTAAAGCAACGCTTGCGTTATGTTTCGTCGTGTGAGTGAGTTACCGGAGGCCCAATTACCCTCCCCTTCCCCAATCTCCCCAATTCCTGAATCCCCAACGATCCTCAAACTCCTAATCCCCAAAAGGCCGGTAACGCACTTGTAACGCCTCTGGTGTTCCA